TTTGTATTTTTTAATACATATGCATGTAATTTGTTGCATTTCAAATTTGAGCTTATTCCAATCAAATTTGAATTTTTTTTATAAATTTTTAAATTTACTCAAAAATCAGGCTAAAGACTCTGGGCTATAGTGCAGGGTATTCCGTTAAAAATGTCTTCAAGAAAACTATCCATAAAACTACACCAAAGCTTTTATTATATTCATTTACTACTACTAGATTTACTACTGTACAACAGAACAGCATAGGTATTGCCCCATGGCTATTCCCTTAACAAAATACTGTAAACAGTGAAACCCACTATTTCATAACATGGTAAAGTATTAATAAATTAACTTCATTTGGCTAAAGTAATACAAGAAAGTTTTTTAATACGTTATCTAGAAATTCAAGTTGATCAGCAACAAAAATTAAAAATACAGTATTTTGAATCCAATCATATTATATTACATATCCTGATAGACAGATACATATATATATACCCTCATGCTATCATTAACGTTGTACAACTTCAGTATCTTTAGAAAAATATTATTGCCATAGATTATTAATCTAATTTTTAAATTCAGCTAATAAAATGCCAAAATAAAGCGGAATTATTATACAGTGCAGATAACAAAGCAATTTGTTATACGGACATTATACACATGATTATCGACAAATTTTGTGTCGGCTAGTTGTCCTTTGAGAATACAAATATCTCTCTCATGCTTTTCAACTGATCAACAACTTGTTTTCACAAACATACTTTTCACTATAGTCATTACAGTAAGCTTATAATGAAACATTGAATGTGAATGAGCTAAACACATACACATGTTATTGCACTGATCCTTGCAGGTTGTGTCTATGTAATTGTGACTTTAAATACTTAGCAAAATCTTAACAAATTTATTACGCTGCTTATAAATTAGTATCTGCCTACAAAAGGACAGACAAAATAAGGTATATTGGTGAGGCAAATAAACTAAAGAGGGTGTTTACTTTAGATAAAAATGCAATGCCACCCAACTAGCTAACCACCCACATATCAAATTACATTAGGTATGGTGATATTCACTCACTGTGACTCAATAATGTAATACTATCTGTAATGCATAGATGATTATGTAAGTTGATATCTAGACAATAACAAGAGTTTGAATATATTTTCTAGTACTTTGGATAATGCATCAATTAGAAAAGCAGACAAGACAATGATGGGAGTGATTTATACAATCAACAGTAGATGGGAAGAACACACAGTGAAACAGGTGGAGCATAATAAGACAAACAACAAAAGTAAATGCTACCTGTTTTGAATCTAACTTCCATCCTAATCTCTTTATATGGCATATACATACATGTCTTATTCTGGTTAAAATGTTTCCTCAGTGCTATATTGTTTGTTTATGGGCATGTTTAACATTAGTGTAGTACAAAGCTGATTCTTATAATTATCCTTAGTAAATAGTACAGGGAATTTAAATTATTATGTCAACATAGTTGTACATACCGGTAGTCATATTCATCATGTTCTGAGAAAAATTTACATCAATAGTATGAGAAAATTCTACATCAATAGTATGAATAAAACAAGTTAAAACTAGCCCTCATTTACACAAAGCTGGGCGAGATCAATAATTAACAAGAGCTTAATATGTAGGTACACCTGCAGACACAAGTAACCAAAAAGAAAATTGGGAAAATTCCCCACAACCCAGATAAAACGATACCTGCTGACTAAATCATGACATGCAATACTGTATTGCTTAATAATTCATTGAGAAATGCCGAGACGATGATTCAGTGATCTGATAATTCCCTTAAAATGAAATAACAATAATGATGCAATAACCTTAATACATACCTTCCTTTATTTCACAAGAAATTGTACTATCACATCAATAACAGTTCACTTATATTTTATGTGCAGAATAGCCAAAACAAAGCTTGAATTTATACCGCTCTGAAATTGAGGAGAGAGAATAGGGCAAGTTAATCATGTGAGAATTATTACACAATATCAAGCATAACTATAATTGAGCTAACCTTGGTAGCTTAAAAACATAATTCTAAAAGTACAAAGTCCTTATTCATTAAACATAAATAAGTAATACATGTGTATGCACATTGCAAAATGTTTGTGCTAGAGCAGGTGCATCTCTTTCAGTGAAACATGAAAGTGAAAACGTGATAATAGGAAACTGATTATCAGTTAATATGAAAATTAAAACTAACAAGAATAAACTGATTCTTTACACACAGCAAAATTTATAATTTAAAAATTAAGAGGTTAATTTATTTTAGAGGCTATCACAATTTTAAAAGCTCATTCGCAAGTCTGGCTTCATTAATGATGGGGGATCTGAGTGCATTCAATAAAGTCTCCCATGTGAATGGACGTGTAGCAAGGTCCTCCCACAATTGAAACACATCACTTATTCCTTGATTGTTCTCCTCTATATCGTCAAGCTGGGGAGGAGTCAGTGCTAATGCCAGTCCCACTTCACGCCACTTTTCAGTGAGATAAGGAATGACATAAATAGACAGGTCTTTATGTGTTAAATCTATATAGTAAAACAAATTTGCAACTAATGGCAAATGTGTAATTATACCTTTTTGAATAAGAGGAGCATCACTGCTTTCCATTGTAACTACAGAATATTGACAAGGAATAGAAGTTCCATTAAAAGATGAGGCCTGTTGTCCCACATTTAATTTGGAATAGTTGTCAGTATCTCCTAGTTGCCCAGGCTTTCGTATTGTATCATTGCGCTGACATTTGTCATAAACAGGAGCACCTCCTCCTTCTGAGTTAAGTCTGGAGTACATCCCATTGGTCTCAACATTCCCATGTGTTGAGAGATCAGCCTGTCTAACATCATGTGACACTTTATTGTACACCTCAAGTTTTATTTCTGAGTAAGAGGCTGGGTTTGAATCAAATGGTGGTGGAACAGCTGGGGCATTAGGATCAACTTCAATGTCAATGTAGTTTAGCGGAACCTAAAATTAATAATAATGATTAATTTGTATATTGCAGTTTGGGACTTACCACATTTGGCTCAACAGAAGGGTAGCTATTGACTACTGGTTCTTTATGCCTCCTCCTCCTATAGACAACTATTACCGAGATGACAATTATAGGAACAACTATAAATTCAATAAATCATTAATATGAGTAATTTTACTATAGCTATTGTACATACCAATTAAAATTATCACTACAATAAGTATTCCAGAAATTATAAAAATTTGTCCATAAGCAGGTGAAGTTGATACAGGTGTTACTACAGAAATAACTATACAAAAACAATTAAATCATTATTAAAAAACATTTTACTTGTTGAAGAAATAGATGAGATATTAATACCAGTTATTACAGCAGCAGGATTAGTAGTACAGTCCTCCATTGATTCACATGCATACAGTGTTAAGTTATTACCAGCTGGTATGTTAGTAATACACTGAATAAAGTTCAACTGATCATTACGAGATATATTGTAATACACTGGTTGAACTGGCTCTTCATAATTAGTGATGTGAATATAAATAATATTAGTTGTACTGCCATTAACAAACTGAAATTGAAGACATACTCTGCTATTAGTAGTATTAATCAAGTTTAACTGTTTTAGATGATAAGTACCTTTAATAAGAAAAATGAATAATTACAACACCTTGGTACATGAACTAACTGATTGTTATAGTGTTGCTTTCAAACTCTACTCCATTTTGATAGAATATAATAACATTAGTATTCAGTATCTCTCTCAATGGAAGATTTATAATAGCAACAAGTGAAATGTTATTGTAAGCACTATGATTAATGGTTATATTTGTTGATGAATAACAAGAATTATTATTAACAGTACATAATGTAATATTAGTAAGTGGCACTCCAGTACACAACTGATGAGCCTGTAAATGTAAACAAACTTGTGTGGGTATTGTATGTTAAGCTAACTTACTGATAAAAGGAAACGAAGGTACCAATAATTGTTCACACGATATGTATAAGAATCTTGATGAATGATTGAAATCTGTGAATCTATGAAGAAATAATAAATCAAATTATGATGCTTTTTACTTGATTGAAATCCAACAGTTGTATTACTAGTAGATCCATTCCCAACTTTATTAGTAGTTGTAATGTTAAACAGATATTGTTCATTGGTTGGGTTCATTGGACAGTAAGTGTAGTTAGTGATAGAGTCATTAAGGTACTGTTGATCAGTTCCTACACTGATTATATACTGTACTGTTAGTCCTGGTAGTGTGAATGGAGGATGCCAACTGATAAACATACAACAAGAATCTAACTGATATCCTGTTAAATTACTGACACTATCAGGTGGACCTACAAAAACCTATGCTATGATACACTACACAGATCAATATTGACTAACCTTGAACATAAACATAAGCAGTTTCAGTGGAATGTCCATTAAACAGTGTATAGCAAGTAGCATCAGTTCCATTTGATTCATTTGATGCTGTTAGATTAAATGATATCATCATTCCCCCATTAGGTAATGCTACAATAGATTGTGAAGATGGCTGAACTCCTTTAGAGAGGAAATAAATATTATTTCCAGTCAAGTTAGTAGCACATTCAAATGTCACAGTATCATTGACATATACATATTGTGTCTCTGGTTCAATAGTGAAGATACTGCCTGAAACTAACAAAACAATTAGAAGTAAATTAATTTTTATCAATTACCAAGTCCAAGAACAGAAGCAAAGAATAAAATTTGAGACTCCATCACTCCTATCCTATACTATAGTTATAAAAAGAGGTGGACCCTAGTCTAGCGGGGGGCCACATTCAATTTTAGCGAGATTAACTGGACCCGGCTTCAGCGCAAAAGTTTACCAGCCCCTCCCTCAAATCATAATGTGCACGTGATATCTCTAACTTTATTCTAAATTTCCTCCACGGTGGTACTCTCCTCATACGAGGAGGCAAGAAATTTCAAGAAGATATCGATCCAAGTGGAGCAAGTGCAGTATGGCTGCCGTTTAGAAATAAATGTACGAGCATTGATGAATTTGGCCAAATACACGTGTTTTTGGACACTGCTTTGAGCTGATTAACTTTTGATGCGCTCTTACTAGAGCTACTAGCTACAATTTTTGTCATGTAAATAAAGTGCAAGTGCAATTTTTGTCATCATGTCATGCATAAAGTGCAAGTGCAACTATAATAATTATTTCGCAGTTTAACAAGATGGCAAAGTATTGTTTTCAGTATAAACACTATGTTTTCAGGGCCTAAAACAAATGTCGGAAAATGGGTAGTGTCCAATTTTTTGATAGTTTAATACTTAGAGCCTACATGCACCCACCATCTGTCTCCGTTGGTTGACCCCGCAACTTCCCCTAGTACAGTATGCTTCCCCCCGAGCCTTCCCCGCAAGACTATCTAGCTCGCTATAAATTTTGCCAATAATTATTTTAGTTATAGTCTAAGATTGGTTGAGAGAGTTAAACTGAAACAAGTAACCTGCTTATGGAAACCTATCTAGATGATTTCTCTAATACGTCTAAACTTGCTGTTGTCAGTTGCCATCTCAATAGAAGGAATATTCCTTCTAAAACCAGAATCAACAATTATTGCTTTCGTTGACAAGCTACTTACTCTTCGATGCTCTACTAACAGTAGTTACTTACTTATTTTTACTTACAACACACCTTCAGGAAATGAGCTGAACCCTCAAAGTAAAACTGAAGAATTGCCTGGTGGAGTGACATTGATTTCAACAACTTTTCTGGTCACAAAAGAACTGGACACGACAAATGTCACTTGTTCGGCAGCTGGAACAAGTTATCACAGTGCAGCAACTATTACTACATACACTCTACCAAACGGTCTTAGTAATATAAAGGTTTGTCAACTTGACCATTTTGTATTTGTAAGTTGGGACAAGATTTTTGCACCCAAAGGCATAAACATAACTTACAGTATTAGTGACAACAGAGGGTTACAAACTGTGATAAATAACTCAAGTTATTCATTTTTTTTAAATGAAACCTCCGAAATCAATTACTATGTAAGCATAACTGTAATTGGGACTGCACCGGCTGCAAACCAAACGGATAATAGCAGCATAACTACCTTACCATACAAGTTGAATGGTATGTCAACTTTGTGAATTCCTTAATTTAATTATACAAATAGGTACGGTAAGATTAGATTTAAGTTATGACAAGGACAATTCCTCTCGAGTAGGAACTAAATGGTTGCTTTTATTCAAAGTTGAGGTTAGTTTTTTTGGGCGGATAGATGTCTGGTTTTAATGAGATTCAAAAGTGGGTGTGCTTAAGTTTTAAAATTTATACTTTTTGTCCTATTCATTATCTAGCTACATCATCTTCATCCAGATCAGTGTATCATTGATAATGAAACCTTAAAAGGTGCTTCAGTAATGAATTGCCTGAGTAGCAGTGACAGTTGCATCAATTCAACAAGTGTTCATTATGATGAACATAACAATGAAATTAATTCAACAAACCTTTTGCCAGCAAGAGAGAAATACAATAGTACATTGTGTTTCAATTACTTGGGAACAAATATTATTAGCCAGCCAGTTCAAACAAGTAAGCTGCTCAGTTGTAAAAACTACAGTAATATCTATTGCAATAGGCACTCATGATATCCAAAACATCGAGAACATATCACCAAATGATACGTCATTGTGCCTTCGCTTCCATTTAATTCATCATGCTCAATCTCAAGAGTTCCTCTTGAATTTAACGAGAGATGAGATTAGTATACAATATTATGTAACACTGCCTGACCTTCAAAACAAAACTAGATTTGAATGGTGTGCTAGTACAATCCCACCTACTTCATCAAATAATAATGGAAACTGGTCATTGTATGCTTATGATGGACCAGAGTATTATAACAACAACTCAGCATTCATACTTGAAAATATTGTTTTAAATATTACTGAAACCATAAACACAGCCACAACACATAATATTGTTAGTACAGACACCACTACATACACCACATATGCTACTATGACTATGACTACTTCTACTACTACTATTACATTTTTGTCTCATTCTTTATATTCTACTTCTATTACATCTTTTTCAAGCCCTTCGCCCAGTTCTACAGAAACAGCTACACTTCCTTCTTCTACTGTAAACTGTAAGCTCTTTATAAATTATTCTCTTACTATTACTCTTTAATTTCTAGTGATAGTGATAGTGCCAGTGTCAGTGGCTGTAACTGCATTCATCATCCTTGTTTTTGTAATTATAATACTTATT